TCTCTCTCTCTCTCTCTCTCTCTCTCTCTCTCTCTCTCTCTCTCTCTCTCTCTGAAACCTGACTCAGTGAAAACTGCCTCCTTCTCTTTTCTCTGTCTGCACTGCTTTCTCCAAAATAGCCTGTCTTTTCTGTTTCCACGAGAGTTGGGCATGCTCTGTTCTGTCAAATCTTTCTCTGACTCATCACTTTGTCTGCCTCTCACTTAGCATCACTTTCAAACATGGATGCTTTCTTCTACGAACTAACTTTACCTTCATTGTTTGGGAATAAAGGTGTACTAAGGGAATGTCTGTATTCCAGCCAGAGGGATTAAAGTGTGTGCTAAGGGCTGAGCCATACCACATCTAGAAACAGTTTTTTTAAAATGATTTGAATAAAGTCTTTCAAGGGCATAGGGTAAAAAGATGTGAATTCTTTGTCCTAAACATGAGTTTTATAGTATTTGATACAAAAGATTTATATTTGCTATCTCTTATAGTATGCTATTTCTAATCTTGAGTTCCTGCTTCCTGGACTTCCCAACATATGGACTCCCTTTCTCCTGGATTGTTTGTTGTTGTGGTATTTTTATCACAGTAAGAGAGATGAAATGAGAACAGCACGTGTTATTTGTCTTTATGTCTGATACTTAACATGATCTCTAGTTCCATTCATTTATCCACAAATACTCAAGACAGCTTTGAATGGCGGTTGCAGCCTCCAAAGATTTTGATCAGACTAAGGGCATATCTATTAGATATCAAGGTAGCCATGGCACTCTATCAATTCTAAGAGAAACTTAAATATTGAGTGATTAATTGCAGAAGTCTTAAACTTTTTTTTTAGTAAGAGAATCTAAATTTTAATTGTAAAATTCAACCTTTTTTCCTATAACTGTAAGTTGAGTCTTAATATATACTTTAAAAAAAGGCCTATCCCTGATATAATTTAGGATGCAAATATCTGCTCTTTTGACCTTTTACATATTCTATTTCAAATTCAATATTAACATATAAAACTTTGTATTTACACAAATTTGAAATTTATATACAGACTTTGAAAATTACATCATAATCCAAACTGTTCTTACAGATGCAACATTTTCTTTTTTCCCTGGAAGAAAGTGATCTTCTAAAAGATGATTATGTACCCCATACCCAGTATCTTGGCCAGCATATTTTTATTCCACTGTATTTCTCTAATGAATGTTTCCTATAAACAATGTAAATGAGTAGTTCTCTCCTTTGCCACGTTTTCTCATGGAAATGAATTAGATTTTTAAGTAAAACCCAAACCCAAAACCACCACCACCAACAACAAAAACATAACAGAGAAACAGTCAACTTTTTTCTTAATTGGAATCTTTTAACATCTTACCCCAGCACCCTCTCTCCATTAGACCACAACTTGTCCTTTGTGGAAGATTGAGGCCCATCAATCAGTGGTTGAACTAAATTTCAAACCAAATATTCAAAAGCAAGGTGTACATTGCTGTAACAGATGATCAGACTCTGCAGAATTATAGGTGTGAGGTAGTTCAGAAGTGAGAACCACATTTAAAAAAAAAAAAAAGGTTTAAATCATACAGAGTGAATCTCAGATGTGACTTTAGAGTTCCGAGAAGGCTGATGGAACAAGAGAGGCCATCTCAAAAGGCACTCAGCAAGTGGGACCCAGCTCAGAAGGATCAGAGCAGCTTACTAAAGCCAGCACCTGAATCCAGGCCCTGTGGCTGGCACTGTCCCAGATGGCTGCAGGGGAGCCGTCCCAACATTCCACCTACACTCCTCCACCTCACTTCAACCTCCATGCCACCAAAGGAAAACCCAGAACCGGGTCTGGACTCAAAGTCCCGCCCCCGGCCCACCCAGAACACCAGACCCCGCCCTCGCCCCACCCAGGACACCAGGTTCCGCCTTCTCCGGGTTCCCTTCTGCACAGGCGCAGAAGCTCCTGCGTGTGGAAGCTGCGGCCCGGCGGGCGGGGTGAGTTGGGGCCCAGACTTCGGGGTCACTGCAACCCCTGTGTCTTCGCTTGGGCGGCGAGGCCTCCTTGTAGGTGAACCAGCCTAGAAAGAGAGGTTTCCCCGCGTACCCTCGCGTCCAGATTTACAGAAGCACCCGGTGGCCTCCCGGGCCGAGGGCTGGCGGCAGCGGGAAGAGCCGGGGTCGGGGAGGGAGCCGGGCCGAGTCCCCCGTCTTCTTGGTGACCTGGGCGTGCAGCGGCCGCTTGTCCTCTTGAGGTCTCTCTTCGCAGCGCATTCCACTCTGCTAACTTGGGGTGCATCCGTGGCCTGAGGAAGAGAACCTAACCACAGCTTTCTGGCAACACCAAATATTAGGTTGGGGGTCGATCCTACCTGAGTCCACGTCCAGCTCCCGGACTTCTGCAAGTCACTTTAACTCTTACTTAGTTCCAAGTGTAAAATGAGGATGATGATAGTGACGTATCTCAAAGTGTTTGTGAAAGGTTCTTGTTTGCATTTCCTCTTCTCACGCTGCAGAATAGCAGCCCAAAACGTTAAAAAAAATCAAAAACCAATTTGACATGGAATGCTTGTAGCCAGTTGAAAAGCGTAATATTAATTACGTTAGCTGTACATCCCGTGTTAGAGAAAACGCAGGTGCTAGATAATATTTAAATTAAAAGCTAAAGTTGATGTCTCAGCAGGTCACGAAGCCTGATGGTTCAGTCTCTTGGACCCATGCGGTGAAAGAGAGAAAGAAGCTACTCTGACCTCACTGATGCAAATCAAACACTAAACACGTGCACAGCCATACACATAAAATACATAAATAGATTTTTTTTTAAAGAAAATTGTAATGTTTGATGTTTGGAAATCCTCACGGGGAAAAAAAAATAGCTAGAACATATTTGTGGTGAAGTTAACAAATCAGGCCTGAAACTTCTGTCCTTTGATGGCTCTGTCTGCAATTTTGCCCCCTCTTTGTCATCTGGAAACTTGGAGTTTGGGAGTGTTCTGTTGTAGTAGTAATTGTTCTATACCCAACATTATGTTTCATGCCAAAATGACCAGTTACTGTACAGTTTCTGTGCTCCAAGTCTCCAGTGGGTTCCCCTGAACACAGATTCATATTACTGCTTATTCCTTATCTTACCCACCTTTCAGGGAAGTGCTTATAGAAGTTATGGGAAAGTACTCTTTTCCATTCTAATCAGGTTAAATGTTCATAGAATGTTCCATGAAATGTACAACCATGTGCTGACTCCTGTGAATCCTGTTGACTTCTCAGTGCCAGCAGAGTCTTGGAGATTTACAGACACAATTTTGATGATGGAAAGCATTTGAAAGTTCAGTAGTTAGATTTAATGTTGTTTGTTTGTTTTGCCTTAAGTGGAATTTGTAAAAGAAAGTTACATGGGATTGCCATATTCTGGGTTGGCATATGTTTAGATACATCTATTAGAAAGATAATTTAAAATTGCCCCTCTACATTTTTGAAAAAGGTAACAGGTTGTTTACAAAGTTTAAATCAAATACCTGGTTAGGAGTATTCTCCCAGACGCCATCATTATCTGTACATAAATCTTCATCTTTATCAAGGGCTTCTCTGTCATGGGGGAAATAAATCATTTCTCGTGAGCTATTTCTTTCTGAGATTCTATTAATTCCTCTCTCTGTCCAGGACTCAAAATTGCAGTAAGTGGATGCAGGTTTGTAAATTTAGAGATGGAAAGCCTGGATTGGCCATCTCATTGTGGGAAGGTAGGGCAGCTGGAGATTAAGGAGACTGGAAAGGGTTTGAAGTGGCCGAGTATTGTGCACAGAGGTTGTTCAGGGAGAGGGCGGGGCGGGGTGGGGGGGAGTGGTGGTAAGAGTAGGCCCAGTATGTTTTCTTAAAAGACTTTCTGAATACATGAGAAAATGATGGCTTGGATTCATCTAGAATTGGCTTCTGCTAAATGCCTGATGTAGTCTTTACTTACCTAAAGTTAAATGTGATCACATGATTTTCTTTAGCCAGTTAATATGAGCTTCCAGGTAAAACCTTACAAAATAGCTCTGTATTAGAATCGTTCTCCATTCTGCTCTAGGAATTGAAGCATTTGCCGAGATGTGTTGGCAAGGACACTTGCAACCCCCCATACACAGACTTTAAAAAAAAAAAAAAAGGGAAAGCACTATTAAAAAAGAAAAGAATGAAGAACTGTAACAGATGAAGTAAAAACAATGACTACATCTCCATCCCCCCTCCTCCAAAAAATCCCTATAGAATACACAAATTGGATAAGGAAATTAGAAAATGTTAGGATATAAGATATCAATAAAATATCAGGGCATACTTTTCTTAGATAGGATAGTAATGTTGTGGAGGAGAATTATTCTTTTTAAAAAGCACTATGCTTACATATTTATGCTTACATAAAATTTCATTATTTCTTCAACTGTTTTCAGGTGCTATTAAAAATAATCATATATATTGGGCTGAAGCGATGGCAGAGTGCCTAAGAGCATGCGCTCTTGCAGAAGAGTATGCTTGGTCCCCAGCACCCGCACTGGACAGTGCACATGCCTGTAACTCCATCTGTAGGGATCTGAAGCTCTCTTCTGTGCTCCACAAGCACCTGTATCAACATGCACATACCCAGAGGCATACACATATATTAGAATTTTTAAAAGTTATGTCTTTCTACCTGGAAATGGTGGCGCACACCTTTAATCTCGGCACTCTGAAGGCAGAGGTAGGCAGATTTCTGAATTCAGGGTCCTGCTTTACAGAGTAAGTTCTAGGACAGCCAGAGCTATACAGAGAAACCTCGTCTTGAAAAGCAAAAACAAAAACAAAAAAAAAAATCGAACCAAACAAAAAAAAATCTAAACAAAAGAAAAAATTCCCTCCCAAACAAAAATTGTATGTTTCTGTATTGATAGTTAGATTAAAAAAAAGTGAAATACATGTATACGTGTTCTTTGTATACTAGATGTGTGTGTGTGTGTGAGATCTAGACAGTGTATGAGCATTTGATATACAGTTCTTTTAACATTTGTAGATTTAAAAAAAATTTTCAAAATGAAATCTTGAAGAGAAAATACGGTAGCTGAAAAGGCGGAATTAATTTTTCTGTCAGTGGTCCACTAGGTAGTACAGCAATTAGGGCTCCTAACCACTAGGTTTATTTTTTTCCTGGTGCAGTGTGGGTCTCCCATGCATTGTCTGCATGGATGGCAGGGTAAGGAAAGAGCCCATAATAATAAGCAGTACTTACTTTCTTTATGAAAAATTTACCTCTGAGATGGTGTATATGCAGACAGACGGCATGTCTTAGTTCAGGGCAATAAAAAGATAATTACTACCCATCGAGTAGCTTAACAGCAAACATTAATTATGTACTCAGGGTGCTGGGAGATCTTGTCTACCCTTGCTACAGGTAAGAGTAAGACCCTGGTTTTAAGAAGCTCTGTTCGTCTCAGCTCTCTTCTTGTTACCTCCCATAAGTGAAGGGTCACATCTCTTACTGGGGCTCGTCTCCAAGTTCTGCCACATGGTAGGTTAAAGTTCAGCCAAGGGATTTTGAAATGCTTGGGGAGTAGCTGGAATGTGCCATTTGTGTATTAACTGTTTTTATGGCAGTCCTGGGGCTAGGACCCAGGGTCTTATGCATGTTCCACTGCTTTGTACTCACTCCTGTATATCTATATCATGGTTTATTTTAGCTGATTTGTCTTCTTTATTTTCCCTCTGTTGATTTGACCAGTAGTCTAGTTTGAATATGCATTAAACACAGTTTAATTTTGAAGATTAAAGTTTATTATTTTTCTTGAAACTTTTCAGTAAATAACAGATGCGGGTAAAAGATCCATCAAAAGGTCTACCTGAGAAAGGCAAAAGAAATAGAAGACCACTGCCACCTCATGATGAAGATTCTTCGGATGACATTGCTGGTAAGTTGTGGTATCTGGCATCTCAGACAATGGTGGGTTAAAGAAGTAGCAATAGGTGCTTTTCAATGAATAAATTCAGTACTTTATTTTCACCATTTTTTTACAGAAGTGTGAGACTAGCTTGTCTAGTTCCACCTACAAAGCCATTGTTGGTGTTCTTATCTGGGTTTTGTTTAAGTTATAAGTATATTAAAGTTGTCATATTGTTCTTTGTCTTTCTCATGGCTCATTAAAATTAAGTCTCTCAGCCACTAGAATTATGCAGATGGTGAACCTTTTGGTTTGGTAACTGTAGGGTTTGTGTGGCCCACCCTACTCTCCCTTCCCCACCTTCTTCCTCCTTTTTCTTCTTTAATTTCTATGGTGATGGGTTTCAAATAGGACTATAATCCTTGTTCCCCAGGGCTTTGCATGTGTTAGCTGAACACTCTATCACTAAGCCACAAGCTCAGCCCACAAAACCCCCTTCTCTCTTTGAGATAGTCTCACTATATTAACCTTTGCTGGCTTAGAACTCACTCTGTAGACCAAACTGGCCTTGAATTCAGGAGATCCTCCTACCCCTGCCTCCTGAGTACTGGGTCTAAAGGTGTACATCACTGAGCTGACGGGACTTGTGTCTTAACAATGAACTTGGAATCTTTATTTTCTGTTCTTGTTGTCATTTAATAATTTGGAGCAAAGAGAGGAACTGTTGACTTTATATCACCAATTGCAAATTAGAAGGTTTCCATGTAGAGTTTTATTAATATTTAAAATATTAATACATTAGGCTGAGTGTGGTGGTGCACACCCTTAATCCCAGCATTCAGGAGGCAAATGAAGGTGGATCTCTGAATTTGAGGCGGCCAGAGTTGTGTTACTGTTTTTTATTTACTTAATGGAAACTGGATTACAACAACTTTATATTCAGGAGTAGCCATAGAACCTACTTATCATTTGAAATTTAGATAATTATATAATTTATAGAAAACCTGAAGGTAATTTACTTTATAACATACAATAAGTTGTTTACATCTTCCCATAAAATATATGTGATCTTGAGTCCATCCATTTAGCAATGATTTCAGTTTTAGAAGTCAGAATGGTAGCATCAGAGTATTTACGTTGTCCTTCAGAACCCATCCCATGGATTATGGAGAAGATAACAGCATAGAATGACTTTTCCCTTCTGAATTTTAAATTATAAAGTTCATACAAAGTAATGACAGTTTGTAAACTGTTGCCCTGGACTGGCTGGTCATTTCATTAACTTTCCCTGAATGTCCTTTTCTTTAATGACATGGGTCCTTGATAATTAAATATACATAAGAATTACTCTTTGGTCTTGTTTTGCTTTTGCTTTTTGAGCCAGGGTCTCTAGCCCTGGTTAGCCTCAAACTCACTGTATAGGTGAGGGTAAGAAGAATTCTGAAAGCTCTGGTTTCTGTAAGTTATACCGTTTGTTTCTCTTTATTGTAATAATGGTAAAAATTGCAATATAGCAAAACTAGCATAGGTAAAAAAGATTTTATGTATCTTTCTATTTTACTTACCTACTTACTGGCACTAGCAAATGAGCGCAGGGCCTGGTGTATGCTAAGCACCAACTTTATCTATGAGCTGCACTCCTCGTTTAGGCATGCATTTCCCCGCTATCTCTTCAGTGCTGAGTGAGGAAGTGCCATATGGATATCTCTAAGAAGAATTTTATTATTTTTTAAATGTATTATTTAATTATTTAATTTTTTTTTTAAATTAAGGCTCTCAGCCACCAGAGGTGTACAGATTGTGAACCTTTTGGTTTGATAACTGTAGGGCTTTCGTGGTGTGCGCATTTGTCTGTGTCAGTGAGTATCATGTATATATGGGTGCCTGTGGAGGCCAAAAGAAAGTGTCAGATCTGTTAGAACTGGAATTACTGAATGTTGTGAGCTTCCTGATGTGGGTGCTGGGGACCAAACTCCAGGTCCCTGGAAGAACAAGATACTGCTTAAAGAACAGAAAAGACATTCAAAGTGCTTGATACATTATAGCTGTTCAGAAAATAGTAATCTTTGTTTGTTTGTTTGTTTGTTTGTTTTCCAGACAGGGTCTCACTATGTATCTTTGGCTATCTTGGAACTCACTATATAGACCAGGTTGGCCTGGAAGTCACAAAGATCTCCCTGCCTCTGCCTCCCAAATGCTGGGATTAAAGCCATGTACCACTACCCCTGGTTTAGTAAATATTAATCCTGTTTCGTGTTTTGAACTAATTTTAGATGAACATGAATGTAAAAGGAAATATAATGTCTCATATAGCCGTCACTTGTCCTTTCCTGATGTTAACATCCTGTGTTGCTGTAATATGGTGTCAGATCTGATGGATCCATCCTTAGCTTATTGAGACATCAGCAGAGTTACATGCAGCTTGCATGTGGTTAAGTGTGTGTGTGCAATTGCAGTATTGTTATGTTTGTAGTTTTCTGTGGCTCAGTGAACCATGTCTGTGGCCATCTTCTAAGTTACCTATTTATAGCCATACTTTGTCCTCAGCCATAGCTCCTAGCAACCACTAATCTCTTCTGTAATTATTTCAAGAATGTTATATAGTGCATCCATGTAATTATATATCCTTATGAGTTACTTTGTTTTTTAATGTGTACTTTTTAGTTAGTATCATTTTAATGACACATACTTTTGCTTACTGTGCGGGTTAGCTTTCTGTGTTGTGATAAACCCTATAACCAAAATCAACCTGGGGAGAAGTGGGCTTATTTCAGTTTACAGTTTATAATATGTCATGAAGAAAGTCAGGGCAGGAACAGAGAGGCAGGAACTAGCACAAAGGCTGTGGAGGAACACTGCACACTGGCTTTCTACCTGTGACTTGCTCCGCTTGCTTTCTTACAGACACACCAGGGCCACCTGTCCAGAGGTGGCCCTGCCCATGTGGGCTGAGCCCTCACATCAGTCATTAATCAAGAAAATGCCTACAGACTTGTCTACAAGCCAGTCTGATGGAGGCAGTTCTCAACTGAGCTTCCACTTTCCAGATGACTCCAGCCTGTGTCAAATTGATTAACCAGCACACTTGCTAACAGTGGTTCTTTCATCTAGAGAGAAAATGTTTTCATTTTGTTGCATATCATCCAGTAGGTCTAACGTGCCAGCACATCAGTTATGCTGTCAGTGTGAATCATGTGAAGAAGGCAGTAGCTGAGACTCTGTGGTCAGTTTGTTCAGAGTGTTTGAAAGAGAGGAGATTCTCTGATGGACAGCCAGTACTTCCTTCTGATGTGTGGTTGTGCCTCAAGTGTGGCTTTCAGGTAAGAAAGGTGGTGTTTATGTGTACGTCTGCTATCTTTAAAGTGCCTTGTACGAGTTGGACTTTTGGTTAGACATAGGCCTTAAAATAGATTCATTTCACAGTTAGATTGGTACTCCTAGGTGGACTTCGGAATGTTTAGGAGTAAATAAATATATGTGATGTTTAGAAAGTAATCATGTGTGGCTAAATAGTTTGAAAGGGAATCTAATACACCTGTTCTCATCTGGACCTGTTTTTGCCTTTTTTAAATTTAGGAAGTGAATCTAACCTTTTAGATTCCTTTATTCCTATTTTAACCTTTTTTTTTTTTAAACTTACTTTGTGTTTGTGCATGCCACAACACAACTGTAGATGTCAGCTTCCTGTAGTTGGTTCTCTATCTGTGTGTCCCAGGGATCAAACTTGGGTTGTCAGGATTGGCTGCAGGTACCTTTACTCACTGAGCCATCTCACCAGCCCTAACAAAAGCGACTTCCAAAGCCTTAAGGAAGCTTTTCTTTTTACAGATCTGTGACACTTTCCTAGACTTTTCCTCCCATGAAGTACTCCTTCTCTTACTTATCTCCTGAGGGAAATTACTCGGCTGGCCTTGTTTCCACTCTCAGTGAGGTTGGAAGGTGGAAGACTAGGAGATATGTGTTTGAGGAGGGCACTGCTGGCCCAGCACTGCTCAGTGTCCCACAGTATATAATATACAGGACAGGAGTGCATACATTCCTAATGATAGGAAACCAATCAGGTGTGGTTATCAGATGCATATATACAATGAACTGTAAGCTATCTACTTTACAAATAATTAAACTTGATAAAAAAAAGAACTGTTCCTTCTTGCTTGAAATCAAAACTGTGCTTAAGTGTAGTTTAAGATTTGATCAGTTTGAAAGAAACTTATGTGTAACTTGTACAAATGGCACTTTGTTCATCTTCAGGGATGCGGTAAAAACTCAGAAAGCCAGCATTCACTGAGACACTTCAAGAGCTTTGTGACAGAGTCCCATTGTGTTGTCATTAGCCTGAGTACATGGGTCATATGGTAAGTTAACTTTTGTTAGTACTGTATCTTTAAAAAAAAAAAAAAACCTTTTGAGCATTACAAGCAAAATGAAGATATAATATCACTGTATACATTTTTCTCTAATACACAATCTGGGATACTTTAAGAAAAATAATTTTACTTGTGAACACAAAGCTTAAAATTAAAAAAAAAATCGTACTTATCACTGACATTTTTTGGTACTATAAAGGAAAAAAATCTGTCTAGTTGAATTCTTATAGTGAACTAATGCTGAATGTTCTAAGAGGAGGATAGTGCTTTAAGCTCGTAGGTAGTTCAGAGATTTCTAACCCACACAGTGGTGTTTTAAAATTTTACTGCAGCCAAGTATGGTGTTGTACACTTGTAATCACTGGGAAAAAACAGGCAGGTGATTGTGAGTTCTAGGCCAGCCTGAGCTATATACCTTGTCTCAGAAAAAAACTGGGGCTAAAGAAATAGTTCAGAGGTTAGAGTGTATGCTACAGTGGCTGGATGATGCACACATTTAATTCCAGCATTTGGGAGGCAGAGGCAGCTGACTGTCAGACTAGCCTAGTCTACATTACAAGTTCTAGGACAGCCAGTGGTATAGAGAGAGACCCTGACTTTGTTTTGTTGTCAGGCTTGTTATTTTGTCTTGTTTTTTTTTTTTTTTTTTTGTAACAGGGTGATCTACATAGCCCTGGCTGTTCTGGAACTCAACCAGAGGGTCTTGAACATACACAGACCTGCCTGCCTCTGCCTCCTGTGCACTAGATACTGCCAAGAAAGGAATTGTCTTAGTTAGAGTTTTACTGCTGTGAACAGACACCATGACCAAGGCAAGTCTAATAAAGGACAACATTTAATTGGGGTTGGCTTAAAGGTTCAGAGGTTCAGTTCATTATCATCAAGGTGGGACCCTGGAATCATCTAGGCAGGCATGGTACAGGAAGAGCTGAGAGTTCTACACCTTCATCTGAAGGCTGCTAGTGGAAGACTTGACTTCCAGGGAGCTAGGATGAGGTCTTAAAGCCCACACCCACAGTGATACACCTATTCCAACAAAGCCACACCTCCAAATAGTGCCACTCCCTGGACCAAGCATATTCAAAGCATGACAAGAAGGAAGGAAGGAAAGAAAGAAGGAAAGAAGATACCCCCCCCCATTAATTTGGTACATGTATAAGTGGAACCATATCATTGCTCTCCATGAGACTGTGTGACATTTTATTACAAAACAAGCTGCAAAATTTGATTTGAATGTGAGGATCTGTATGAACAGTCCCTTGCTTATTTGTCCAGGCTTAGCTAATGCCTTCCACTTTGAGTTCCTGGTTCCTATTAAAGACAGAAGTTGTCAAATACATACCTTATATGTAATTATTGAAGCTGCTTTCATAGCATCTGCTTGCATTTTCTATTTTTCAGGTGTTATGAATGTAATGAAAAATTATCGACACATTGCAACAAGAAAGTTTTGGCTCAGATAGTTGATTTTCTCCAGAAACATGTTTTTAAAACACAAACAGGTAACTTAAGCAATTTGCTAAAGCAATTTGGATTAAGATACAATGTTTCATATTTTGCCGAATAATCTTTACTTCAATTCCTGGAACCCACTTGGTGGAAGGAGAGTCAGTGTGTGTGTGGCCATATATTTCAGGGCACCTGTGTAGAGTCCAGAGGACAAACTGAGGATTGGTTCTTTCTTTGCACCGTGTGGATCCTGGGGATCAGACTTACAGTATCAGGCTTGGCAGTGTGTTGTCTCACCCCTGAGCTACCTTGTTGGCCCTTAAAATGCCTTGGAAGAAATTAAGTGCTTGGAATGTAGTACCAGCAACCGAAAGGTTTTATAAGAATATAGTTATGATAAAAGGGGTTGCTTTGTTTATTTGGTTTTTTTAACAGTGCTGGGTTTGGTCCCAAGAGTATGTGTAAGGTAGGCACATACTCTGCCACTAAAAATACAGCTCAGTCTTTTAGTTGTCCTGAAAGGCAAAACCAAACAAACAGAAAACATAGTTCAAATTGTATTTTTATAGTCCAGTATGCAGTTGTCTTTGTTAGCTACCTGTCACTCTGAAGAGGCAGTCATAAGAATCCAGAGGAGGAAACAGAGGTCACACCTTCAACTACAGACACAAAGCAGAGCGTGAACTGGAAGTAGGGCTGGGCTGTGAACTCTCAAAGCCTACTGCCATCGACATACTTCAGCAAGGGAGGCTGTATCACTTCCACAAACAGTGCCACATGTGGGTGCTGGGAATTGAACCCAGGTCCTCTGAGAGAGTAGCCAGTGGTGTTAAACACTGAATCATCTCTCTAGTCCCCAAGATTATAATTTCTCCCCTCCCTTTCCTCTCTCCAACCCGCTCCCTGCTCTCCTTCAAAATCATGACATCATTTTTTCATGAGTTGTTATTGAATGCATATTTGTATTTGTATATAAATATATATTTCCAAATATAACCTGTTGAGTACATATAATGTTACTTGTATGTATGTTTTCAGAGCTGATCATTTGTTGCTGAACAGCCAGTTGGTGTATTCTTCTTTGATCGCTCCCAGATTTCCTCAGATGCCTGTAGTACTTTGTGTAGGGAAGAATGATACTAAAAAATTCTTTTTATGGTTTTGCACCAAGTAAAAATAACTACTGAGAAGGAAGCCAATACCTGTTCACTAAGCATGCTTCAAATTATGTAAGACCTTCTTTCTAACATTTTCAATGTTGCTTATAGAGAATCTAGGCAGAAGCGGATACAAGATATGTCACTTGCCGTATAACACTCTGAAAACCTGTGTTCTACTGCAGCATCCAGCATGGCTCCAGGCATTAGACTGCAGCCTGACTGGAGCAGCAAGGGAATAAAGAAAAGACACAGGCACATGGAGCAGAACAACTCGGATTGGGTGGTCCAGGGTCTGCTATTTGTAGGATTTATCCTTAGGATAGAGAAGAACCACTGTTAGGAGTGGTCAGTGTTGTATTCTAGATCGGTTATTTGACTTGTAATTTAAGACAGATAGAATGGATATATACCAGCTATTATCCCAGTGACATTTATCATATGACTAAATAAGTAAATGTTTCTAAGGCTGATGATTAACGAGGAATTAGACTTTGAGAATAGATAGGTGTGTTAATTATTATTCATTTTCAAACTAGAGGAATTGTGGTGAAATAGTTTTTCTTAAAACTTCTTTCAGCTGTAGAAATGGGCAAATTTTCATTAATACTACATGACTGGTTTAGGTAATTGCATTAAGCAATTGAGATGAATCCAGTGCAGGTTCCCAGAAGAATGCTTACAGCTGTGTAGAGTTCACATCTGATGTTAGAATTTGGGTTGGGGGTAGGGGGAGCACTCACCCTTGTCATGCATAATGCAAAGGTCATATATAACGCAAGATTGAAAAAGGCAAAAGTATCCTTGCAGGATCCATCCAGAAAGATGTATAATTAAGAAGCAGCTCTGAAGTCTGTACAAGAATGAATAACGTTGGCAGAGCTCGTGGGGAGGGAAAAACAAGCAAAGTGCAGAGGACTTTTAGGGCCATGAGACTATCCCATATAAGGGTGGGTACCTGTCATTCTTTATTTGTCCATTTGAAAGGAACATACACCACCAAGAGGAAAGCCACGTAAACTATGGATGCTGGGTGATAACCAAGTGTCAGTGTAGGTTCATCAGCTCTAACAAACGAACCGTTCTGGTGGGTGTGTGGGAACAAGGATGTGGGCCTCAATTTTGCTTTGAACCTAACAGCTGCTCACAATTTTTTTTAACTGACCCATGTACTACAAAAGGGTCATGAAGCTAAGTTACTGTAGTTATACAAATCCTATTGCAGCAATTCCTGGTAGAATATCGATGATTATTGCTGTGCTTTTTGTGAACCACACAGGAATCATGAAAATTCCATGCTCTTTCTAAGAGCATCTGTTTAGCTCAAAATGTCAGCGCTGGCAGGATGTTATTTTTATCATCACTAAAGAAAATAAAGTATATTCCATTGAGTTCATTATGCTAATGCTTTCTTAGGGTACCGAAGACCTGAAGAGTGTTTGTTTTTAGAAAGTATGTGCTTTTATGTGTACTGTTCCACCATATATATATTTGCTTTTTAAGTAATACAGTATTAAATGGTTTGATTAGGTTCTTAAGCTAGGATAATATTGTGGCCTTATTTAGTAACAGTTAGAAAGTGGTTTGATGGGCTGGAGAGATGGCTCAGCGGTTAAGAGCACTGACTGCTCTTCCAGAGGTCCTGAGTTCAAGTCCCTGCAACCATATGGTGGCTCACAACCATCTTTAATGGGATCTGATGCCCTCTTCTGGTGTGTCTGAAGAGAGCAATGGTGAATACATAAAATAAATAAATAAATCTTAAAAAAAAAAGAAAAGAAAGTGGTTTGATACCTTTTAAAAGGTAAATACAGTTTCTTCAGCCCTAAAGCTCTGATCTTACTTCACAAGATGAACATAAGCTCTTTCCCTGGCCCAGCTCAGTCCTGTGAGGCAGAGGCTTGGGTGTATTCAAGGTTTAGTTTTAGCTGTAAGCCATGATAGAGGAAGGTAGAGCTGCCAGAGGGCTACTGGATAGCAGTACTGTTGCTTTCCAGGATGTGCTGCAGAGTGTGGTTATTCAGGAAGCCCAGCACTGGGATTTGTGAAACTGCCAAGCCTATCTGTGTGATTGTGTGAGATTCTGTTGAGTCTGTATGTACTAGGTTGATGATGGAGGCCCTGTGTGCTGAACATCACATCAGCTTAGTTAAATGTCTTAGGGTTACCGTTGCTGTGATGAAATACCATGACCAAAACCAACTTGGAAGAAAAGGGTTTATTTCCCTCATGGTTCTATATCAAAAGCAGTGAGGTTAGGAACTCAGACAGGACAGGAACCTGGAGGCGGGAACTGATGCAGAGACCACAGAGGAGTGCTGCTTACTGGCTTGCTCAGCCTGCTTTCATATAGGAGCAGGGACTATAAAAAGCTTCTCTGTGCCTTTCAACGCTCTTACCTTCTAAGTGCCTACAGAACAGCCCTGGGACCTCTCAATACCAAGTTGCTTTTCTAGCTCAAAGTTCCAAAGTCCTTTTGCAATCCGTGACAAAACAACATGGTCAGGTCTTTTGCAGCCGTACCCCATGATCTTGGTACCAGTTTGTCTTAGGGTTACTATTGCTGTGACGAAACACCATGACTACATGCAACTTGGGGAAGAAAGGGTTTATTTCAACCACAGTTCCATATAATAATAGTTCAGCATCAAAAGTAGTAAGGGCATGAACTCAAGCAGGACAGGATCCTGGAGGCAGGGGCTGACGTAGAGGCCATGAATTGATGCTGCTTACTTCTCATGGTTTACTCAGCCTGCTTCCTTGTAGAACCCAGGACCACCAGCCTAGATGCAGCCCTACCAACAAGAGGCTGGGCCCTCCCACATCAATTGCTAAATAAGGAAATGCTGTACAGGCCTGCCTATAGCTTGAGCTTAAGGATATATTTCTTAATTGAGAAAATAAGAGTCGTCTCTCTGATGACTCTAGCTTGTGGCAAGTTCACATAAAACTAGCCAGCACAGTAAGATTGTTGAGAGCAAGAAACTAGGGGAGTGGTCAGGCCACATGTCCTCCAAGATTATACCAGATTTAAGAAATAAAATATTTGGATCATTAAAACATAATTCTAAAAAATTTTAGTAATTTCCATGTATAACAAGGAGTTGGGAGGAAAAGGTACCAGTTATTAAAAGCCAAGAAACTGCTGTGGTGAACACATCTGTAAGCCAGGCATTTGGGAAGAAGAAACAGGGCAAACACCCACACCTACAAACAAACAAAAGCCAACTCATAGCCAGGCAGTGGTGGTGTACGCCTTTAATCCCAGCACTTGGGAGGCAGAGGCAGGCGGATTTCTGAGTTCGAGGCCAGCCTGGTCTACAGAGTGAGTTCCAGGACAGCCAGGGCTATACAGAGAAACCCTGTCTTGAAAACCCCAAAACAAAAGCCAACTCATTTAACTGGAGTAGGTTTAAATTCAGTTTTTATCTGAACCACAGATAACAGAAAATTACTTGAAGTTTTATTTAATCATTTCTCCCAAAACTGGCATAAACACATGAGAGAAATTAGTTGTATACAGTGGGTAATTAAGGCATTATGACATGATTTTTTAAAATTTTATGTTTTTGTACCACCTCTATGCAGTACTCAAGGAGGCTAGAAAAAGTCCCTGTGGACTGGAGTTATAGATGGTGGGTGCTAGGAATTGAATCTGGGATATCTGGAAGTGCTTGCTCTTAACCCACCTCTCTAGCCCAAGGACTTTTTTTTTTTTTTTTTTCCCTGAGATAGGGTTTCTTTATGTAGCCTTGGCTGTCTTAAAACTCACTCTATATACGAGGCTGGCTTCAAACTCACAGAGATCTGCCTGGCTCTGCCTCCTAAGTGCTGGGATTAAAGGCCTGCATCACCATCACCATGCAAGGACTTAATTCTTTTGAGGAACCATTTGA